GCTTAACAAATCATGCTCAAGAGAAGCACCTCACTGTCAGATTATTGAATGTGTCAATAATATTAGTAATTTTTTGTTTTTATAAAAGTTTAGAAAATGTAATTCTGTCTAATATAAACATCCTCGGTTCAGGCTTATAAGCAATATTTGCAATTTGACACTATTCACACACTCTCCTTTGACCATCTTTTGCGATTTATACTTTTGGAAAAACATAGTCACATGGGATTTTGTTAGATCTGTCATAATATATACATTATAATATTAACCTTTTATAATTGTTACTGATATATAATTAAAAATCAAAATGTGCATTGGCAAGTGTGAAACTCCCAACTTTGCAATTTAAAAAGAACGGAGGAAGTATACCAATGAATAACTAGTTTATACTCCGCTACAGACATGTGCTTCAATGAAGTATACCAATGAATAAATTAGTATACCACTATACCATAAACTAGGTATCATCCTCAAATGGTGACATTTATGAGCTTCAAAACTAATTATTAATAGTCACATATCATTCTGTCCATCTTAACATAGATTATAAGGGCCTTCACTAGCATCACTTCATTTCAAGAATTTTGCTTTCACTGTTATCTCGGTCACTTAGCAAGCAATCTAGCCCTGTCTGAACATCAATTACAATAACCTCAACAAGCATCAGACACAATAAACTTAACTACAGTTCAACCTTTAGCATAATAAAATGATCACGACTTGTAATTTCATAATAATAAACATCTTCAACGCAGCTCTTCTTTTCATATGACGCCAAGCTAACCAGTACTTCAAGTTCAATTTTATTCCACTTTTGTTTTTCATTTGTGTGAGTGTGAGTGTGAGTGCGAGTGTGTGCATCTTGGGGGGGGGGATTCATTTTTAATAGGTTTATGTGCTTGAAACTACATACGTAAGAACTTACCATATTTTTCCGCAATCTCATTCCAATCAAGCAAAATCTCCTCCCTTTTAAATCCTCGTTTTATGCTACTAAATAAACTTCCTAGACCTGTAGATTCTTCTGTATCCAGTCTTCTACACAAAATAGGGTATTCTTTCCCTTCTGGAATGTGTTGGTAGTAGAGCCTGGGAATAACAACACAATAATCAGACATTAAGGTATTGAAGTAAATTTTCATTTGACCTTTATAAAGATTCTTAACAGCTGCAAAATGTATCAACAATATTTCAAGTGATGTCATGCTATCAGGTGAGAGGTAAAATAAAACTTCTTTGATCACTCATACACTCTCAAGCACCTCTTCTCCTACAAAAAATGTAACTAATAGGTAAAATCATAATTATACTAATGAACTCCAATGGGCTACAGTGTTGTATACAAACTTCACCTCCAATTCGTAAAGCCACACATTTCATGACAGAAGATGCTCATTGTAGCAAAAAAATAGAAGTCGCAAATCAATATTTCAGGCTCCAATAGTGCTAGAAAGCTCATGATGGAATAGTCTGAAAGCTTCTTTCAAACAGGAGAATGTTTCAAGTGGGGAATATAAACACACCTAGGACCCCAAACAAACACAAAACATTTTACATAGCACTTTATCGCAAGTTGATACTGTTATAATATTTGCTACCTTATATTACATTATCAATTGTAAATAACCTACTTTGACCCTTAATTGTTCGCTATTAAACTCCACTTGCTAGAATGTCTAGATTAATCACTAGAGTTAAAAGAAGTAAGTAATTTGAAATATTTATAGAGTTAAAATTATGTTAACGAGTGTTGTATGGAAGGCAATGGATGGAAAAAAAATTCATATATAAAATAGCCATTAAATTGAACTGGAAAACGGAGAATTATAGTACTGGTACAAATTATATAAACATATTCCACACAGTTGAGACAGAGTACAGGAAAGATGAAATATGCTCCCATGCTTGGGAATGAGCAAGCTGCCCAAAGTTCCGCTTACAAAGTTACGTAAATGTAAAACCACTAAGTCTATTAGCATCACGAAAAACCATCCATTGCCATTACCTTTGGTATTGGGCAAGCTGCCCAATCTAAGCTATAGCTTTATCATTTCTCATACCAAGACTAAGTCCCCAATTTGAATGTAGAAGGGCTCAGAATACAAGAGTAGAAAATTTTAAACCAAACATTCAAAAACGACATACTCAATTATTAGAACTTGATCATTTGGTTAAATGCACAATGTTGCCACATGTTGCCAAATTGAACAATCATAGAGCTGTATGCTGATAATCAAATACAAAATCAATTTATACAAACAAACCAATTTACCATTATACAATTACCTCTAACAAAGCTACTCTAACTACATTCATATCAAGTAATTCCACTTCCCAACTACCCATTATACCAAACCATAATCAAACCACATAGAATCAAACAATTGAAACAAACAAACAAAGCTTATGAACACAATTCAATACCAAATTATCAAAACAATCACCAAATACAAATTAACCAAAAGGGCATCTTCAAAAACTAGAAAATCGAAAAGGGTAATCGAGAAAACAACGAACAAAGGGCCCCAACGTTCAGGAGGAGTAGAAATTTTGGCGGGAATCCGACTACCCATCTCAGAGAACAGCTTCCTTTGTAAAACCCTAGTATCAGCCATGAAAGCTTCAGCATAAGAGTTCTCTTGAGAGAGAAAATTGACGAAATCTGGGTCGTTGATGTTGGACATCCAATGGTAAGGATCGTCCCAAGAGCGGCCATGAACAGTGACTTTGAATGGGAGTTTCTTTGGAAATGGTGGATCAATTGAAGGGTATGAGAAATGGGGTTTGCGAGGACAGAGAGTGGAGAAGAAGGTGATTGAAATGGCGGGAAGGAAGCGGAGAGAGATTGGGATGAATTTGGGTTTGAATAGGAGAGAGAGTGACATTTCAAGGTTGAAGGTTTTAGGGGTTTCAGCAGATTTAGTTTTGGGGTTTATCGTTTATGTCATTGATACTCCGTAACTTGATAGCTGAGTTGTGTTGCGAAATAATGAAATACTCGAATTGGTGAGAGTCCGATAAGACTTTTTCTAGGCTCTCCAAACATGGCTCACTTGAGCACGAAGCCTATGGCATGTAGGTCTACACGACTCAGTCCATGCCAATTTTATGCTTACCTATACAAAAGATGGTAAATCAAAGACATCTATTCTATTCCATATTGACTATTACAAAACAAGTCATACTGACATTATCAATTAATAGACAGATGTTAACTTTTTATGAACGATTTTCTCACTTAATCTATTTTTGACATCATCTTTTTTTTTCCTCCTAAGTTCCAAGACTAAATAAATACTTCTTTCAAAAAGAATTAAAGAGATTATGACTACACATTTTTTAAATAAAGAATAGTGATGACTATTTTAAGTATAATAGCTATTTAAATCGTATGTCAAACGGGATTAACCTATAAGGTGTATATATTTGAGTTAAATACCAAAAGGTGTGATGATTGATTGGATTTTTTTTTTTTAATACTTCGACCTAGTTTAGCAATTGGTTGTTGGTTATTGGCTGTCGGCTTTTAACTTAGCTCGTTTGATTGATTATTTGACCATGGTTGCACGTAAATAGGTTTGGTAAAATCACTTGTTGGTGGTTGGCTGTAACTATACAAAATGACCTTTAAAGGCAATATTATGTGTAAACTTATCTGTTATAAATACAAAATATTATTTAGCAATTTATACTTATTTATTAATTATTTATCAATTAGTAGTATCAAATTAAAATTTATAATTATTTAGTGTTGTCAATCTATTAGAGACTATTTTATAATGATTAAGAGGGATTATTTTGAAAGTATCGGTTTTTCACCATACGCCCCCGAGTTTTCAATTTATTTACCATATATCATTGGACTTTTTTAAATACATCATATACCCCCAAGTTTCCATAAAAATACACCAAATACCTTTAATGACTACAAGATGAGTTGAGGTTGATTAACATATTATGTCCTAAAATCATCCTGCGTCCCTTCCCGACCCCCCAAAATCACCCTTTCTCCCCCAACCATCCCATATCTCCTACCCCTCCCTTAATAATATGATTGATATTGGGGGTGAAGGAAGGGAGAGGGGTGGTTTCAAGGAGTTCCCTTCCTTCTCCAGACAACCTAGCCTCCTAAACAGGACTTTTTTAAGGAAGAAGAAGCCACTTGGGTGCTGGCATCATTATGGGCTATTTGGATTCATAGAAATGAGATCATTTTTTAGAATAGACGGGCAATCCAGCTTAACTAGCCCCAATTGATCGAGTGATAAAACTAAACATCGACAACTTAATAATTAATTACAAAACAGATATATGCTAAACTTCCAATTGATCGAGTGATAAAATTAAACATCGACTAAAGATGTAAAGACATACTTTCTCCGTTTTTTTTACTTGACCCGCTTTGACTTTTACACTATTAACCACTCCTCCTTTGACCGTCTTTTTTGAATAATATGTAAGGAAAAACATATTCATGTAAGATTTTTTAAAATCCGTCTCAGTAAATACTATTATAACATAAAATTGTTATAATTTTTACTTAAGAAGAATTAAAGTTATTGATCGTGAAAGTTTTACATTGACGAGTATGATAAAAAAAAAAAAACAGATCAAGTAAAAAAAACGGAAAAAGTAGTTATTAAGGGCTGGTGATTTTCACACACCTACTTTACACAAAAACACTCCTCTAGTCCTCTCTCAATTGGAACTTGGGGTGTGCGGCTATCAATGCAAACTAAGTGGTGCGAAAACCACGCACTTCTCTTGATCAAGCGCACAACTGTTAATTAATCAACAAAGACGTGATTAATTGCAATATCGTCAATTGGAAGTAAGTATTAACTATAAATTTCCGATTTTTATTTATTCCAAGACTTTGACCACTTTGACATGCACATAATACATTAAGTAAAATAATATGGAGTACAATTCGTATGATAAAGTTAAGATTAAGACCATCTAATTAAAAAAATTAATTATAATATTATTAGTACTGAAAAGTTAAACGACATAGAATTACATAGTAAACATATATATATAGTTAATCTTCCAAAATGCCGGCTCTAACCTAAGCTTTACGAAGACAAGCTCCCCTATTTTGCTAATTACAATAGTTTTTCTTCTACCAAAATTGTGACCTAATATTAATTAAAAAAAATATTGGTCTAAGTTTTTTTTTTTTTTTTTTGTTAATTCCCCTAAATTAAGCAAACGAAAAATTAGCCATGTTTTATGGATGAAGGGATTTATTGTGAATGGGTCGTCTTCTTCGAACTCTCCGATAATCCATGGTGAATAACTCCGTTGGGTCATGAACTTCTTCCCATTCTCTCCATTTATCTCCTGTTATTTGCATCATATTTACATCTTTCTTTTGCAACTCATCTGAAATATTAGGAAAATGACATATTTATGAGATAACTTAATAATTATATAATTTACATGCTTAAAAAGAAAACAGATAGATGCACGATATGCAAGTCTACCTTGGAAAATAAAGAGTGAGTCTTAGATGAGACAGTTTTACACGTTTTAAATTTATTCAAGGACACATTTTCTTTTTTTAACTAATTACATCATTATATCAATCTCACAACCGTAGGAGAATAATTTGTTCCATAAATGATGGAAACTTTACCCTCCTAACTTCCGAAGTTAAAACTAACTAATTACATAAATAAAAAGAAAAAGTAAAAAAAAAAACCTAGCTAATTACATCATTTATTTTTTTAAAAAAAAACCTAGCTAATTACATCATTTATTTTTTTTAAAAAAAACCTAGCTAATTACATCATTTATCCATGCTAAGTTAATGTATGAACCAGAACCACTAAGGATCTTTTTTTTTTGGAAACCTATCCCTAACTATAGCTAAGATTTAGTTATGACTAATACCGGTCTTACGGTCAATCAGAAATTGAGTTTTCCTAAAGAACTTGATATCTCATACCTCGAATATTTTGAAGTGCTAAAAAATGGACTAAATGGTTGAGATGGTCAAATTATCCTCTTTCTTTGGAATTGTCATATTAGTTGATACTATATGCTTCTAACTACAAATAACCGTACCTTATTGCTAAGTACTATTCCATATAATAATTTCTAGTTGCCATACTAAAATAAAAAAAAGTTGTCTGTACCCAATATAACGTTGAATACAAAGTAGTATACACAAAAGTACATGTTATTAGAGAAAAAAATAATTTAAGTTAAAAAAACGATATACTTATTTGCATGCGCATAAACACATTTGCGTAAAGTGTTGTGCCACTTTTTTTTTTTTTACTTAATTTTTGAATACTCGTATAAAATATATAGTAAATCAAAATTCTTTTATTTTATTTTATTGTAACTAAATAAGTGAAAACTTCCATTAACTTGACAAAAAAAGTTTTTGCTAATAATATGATATAGGTTGGCCTAAAATCAAGTTTTATCAAGCACTATATTAAAAGTCAAATAAATTTTTATACTACGTACAAGTATTGATGCATTGCATAAATAGCCAGAAAAGTAGGAGGAACTACCATCCTTTTGGGAGATTTTGAAACAGATGTGATGTCTTTTTGTGGGAGAAAAAGCTACATAGTACTTATTTAATTAGTCAAGTGCCTCAAAAAAAAAAAAAAAAAAAAAAAAAAAAAAAAAAAAAAAAGTCAAGTGCGTACAAGGTGGAAATAAAACCACCTCTGATTTATTAAATTGCTTCTTCAACTTGGCTATAAGCTAAGCATGCGGGAGATTTATATACAACTCTCTCACAACCTCTAAGATGTTAGCCCTTTTAGAAAGTTTAATTAACAGTATAAAAAACTGAAACGATTAAAAAATAACACCATCAGTTATAGTATATGTATGTAAAATATATAACGATATCATTGGATCATTTGGATGTTTTTTTGGTACATAAACATGATAAGCTAGCTTAGTTAAGCCTCTTCCATGTTTTTTAAAAGACACATGTGCCATTGTAGATTTGTAGTTTTTATTGAGTAGCTCATTTATTTCTATGCTACTCAATCTTATTAATCATCACTTTTGTTCAAGAAAATGCATCCATATAACAAATTGAGTTTTAATATAAATTTCGTCATTGATCATTTTCACTCTCTAGGTAATATATAATACCAAATATACACTAAAGATATACGAAGTATTTAACAAAGAAATACTTATAATATCATAGATATGTATGAAATTATCGTATAAATTTTGCTACATTGCCTTAATTCATTTACAATATACTATGTCGAATTGAAGTATGACATTACATTTACTCGATCAGAAAGTTTTAAACAAAGTTAATGATTAATATATAAAGCAAAATTTTTGCATCAATGATTTCGACGTTAAAAAATAAAAAAATAACAAATCTTACCTAGAATTTCTTTCTTTGCCTTCATATGTGACTCGACATGTTTACTAGTCTTAGTAACCTGCTTATTGAAAATGGAAAAAAAAAAAAAAAAAAAAAAAAAAAAAAAGAATAAATAATCAAATTAATGTCATTGGAAATTTTACACCAAGAAGAAAAAAATGCCAATAAAAAAATACGGAGTTATTATTAAGATGTACATATATCAACAAATTGTATCATATTCAAAATGCTCAAATAAATACTTCGTATCATATATATTGATATTTCTCCAAAGACTTGTGGCAATTTAATTTCACTCTAGGTGCAGTAGAGTTATTTTGATGTATAGGGAGCCACAATGACTAACGAAGTAACATAGGCATACGCCCTTCCATCAAATAAGAGAGATAAATGACTCATATAAAAGTGAAAAATAAAGTATGTCGTTGTATGTAAGTGATAATTAGACGCACATACTGGGTATATATATGCAATAACTAACCTTTGTATGTACCTTGTCAATGGCGTTGAGCTTCCTAGGAAGTGAAGTGATAGAAGGATGAACACCATCTAGTTGGAAAGAAGTACAAGGTTTGAGCAAAAGAGAGTAGAAAAGGCACAAAAGGATAGTTATTTTGAGAGCAAACTTGTTATTCATTTTAACTAGCTAGTTGTTTTAATTTGTTTAGGAAATGAGACTACATATTGTGTAGACTTAAGGGGGTGTATATATATACAAAGAATACAAAAATCCATGAAATAGGGAGTGTAGGAGAAGTTGGTTAGGTATTGCAAGGGGACAAGCCAAACAAGAGAGAGACAAACACAAAACACAAAATGGAGAGAGTTCCAAAACAAATGTAAGTTTCAATATAACTCAAAGTTGTATTCAATTCATTCCTTTTTAGAAGTTATCATCAAACCATTTGGGTTGGTTTTGTCTTGCGTGCCCTTTGTCTTGTTTTGTGTTTAGAGCCTTTGCATTTGCTTTCGTGGGGCGGTTGTTTTCCCTTCATTCTTAGCTTGTTCAAATATGCTTTACATGTACTAAGTACGGATTAATATTTATTTTAGTAATTGGTAAATATATAGGAGGGGTACCGTGTCTTGAGATACCTGATCGAGACCTCGATTGAATCTTGACTAAATTAAGGTCTTTGTGGTTCTATATAAGCCCCAAACATGTATGGGAAATAAAATATGTTGTACTTAAGGGTATGTTATTCTACGGTTACATCAAAGTAGATCTTAGTATTTTAAGTATGTCAAAGTTCTAACGTAAATCTCACACACACGTACATATTATCAATGTTTAATAAAGTAGTGGCCAGTTGAGTACTAACACACACATATATATATATTATCAATGTTTAACAAAGTAGTGGTCAGTTGAGTACTAACACACACACACATATATATTATCAATGTTTAACAAAGTAGTGGCCAGTTGAGTACTAATTTTTAGATTCTAAGACTGTTTTTTAACAGAATAATCGATAATTATTACCTGTGTATATATATATATATATATATATATATATATATATATATATATATATATATATATATATATATATATATATATATATATATATATATATATATATATTTGTTTGGGTCCAATTCAGTTATTACTAATTGGGCCGGTCCAAATGATTTAATTACAAAAGCTCAAAAGCAAGGTTCAACTCTCCAAAGCATGCTAAACTCCATCAAGCCCAGTCAGCTTGGCAAGCCCATCTGATTTCGGGTCCAATCCATGCATATTGAGCAAAGGTATAAAAGCCATCAATTGTCTTCTCTTACACTCATTCATAGTCAGCCTCAAGCAATTAATTCTCTTGCATAGCTTATTCTCTCTACACATTGAACTGACTTTAGCATCTGAGGGGCCTTTCTCGGCAACCACCCCCGAGGCTAGTTTACATGTGTTTGCTGTGCAAGAAACCCTCGGCCCATTCATCAGTTGGTCCGAGATCAGCCTTCTCCTTTGAAAAGGGCCTGCCGAAGGTCCTATTGTTTTTATACCGAAACAATATATATATTTATATATAATTGTAGCACTAACTACACCTCAAATTTTGGAATTTAATTAGTGACAACTACATGGTTATTTACATAATAGGTATAACCGTATAATGCATTAAGTAATTTTATATACAACGGGATTAAGAAAGTGATAAGCTCCTTTGTTTAGATTTTCAAAGTATTAATAGCTTTATGATGAGATGAAGAGGATAGTACGTAAGTACGCAACTCTAAGATTATAAAAATAATTTCCTTTTTCTTGTTGTAATGGAATGTTAGATACCTCAGCTCTAAAAATAAATATAGTGAAATTATTCCTGTAAAAGATGACTTCTGCCTTGGAAAACTACTAACAGTATATTTTTACAAGTAACACAATCGCACGCATGACTGATATTTTAATATATAAGAATTGGAGAGGATGCAAGATGGTTCCTCCGTTCTAAATTAGTACACATTGAAATAAATCTAACAAGATGCACGTGACTATGTTTTTTAATATTTATAAATCACAAATGTTAGTCAAAATAAAGTGCCAAAAATTAAAACAAGTAATCTAATTTGAAATGGATGAAAATTTTATTTATTTTAGATAGAAATAGCCTTTGATAATGTTATAATCCTATCAAGAATTAGAAATGTTGAAACGTTTGATTATATTCATGAAATAATGAACTCATAATATCTAAAGATGTATGACTTCTCTAATATATCTAATATTAAATAATTAAACTATACGGAGTACATAAACTAACTTTAACTTGATTTAACACTTATGTATGCAAATCAAATGTTATTATGCATAATGTTGTTGGATTAGTTTTGATGTGTAATTTCTTAATATCAACTTTTTATAAGTTTTAATGATAGATCATTAACAAAGTTGTGTATTGATAAAAAAAAAAGTAATAATAATAATAATAATGATAATACATAAATTCAGTCAAAGTATTTATTTATGAACAAAGGGTGTAAATCACATTATTGAAAAATACTTTATAGTTGTTCCGTTAATAGCTGTTGCAAGATATTATAACTATTATGATCAAAAGATTATTAAAAGTAAGCAAAAAAAAAAGAAGGAAAAAAAAAAAAAAAAAGATCGTTAGAAACCTTTTTAGATTGCATGTCTACAGTGTTCAGGGTTTATTGTCTTCAAATTTCCACAACTTAGTAGCCACTTCCAGTGTTCGTCTTCTCTGGTCTCAAAAAGGCTAAGGATCTTCCTTAAAGTGCTTTGAGGTAGGACATAAAGTTGTACACCTTTCCAATTTAAGAGTTAATGACTATATGTATCAAGAAAAGCTATCAATTTTGTAGAGTTAAAAAAAAAAAAAAAAAAAAAAAAAAATGAATGATGTTGCAACACTTCCTTATAAAAAAAAAAAATTATTTTGCAAAATATGGAAAATTACAATCTTGTACCTATTTTGGATTAAAAGAGTTCTATCTATTTAGCTACTTACAAAAAAGCGAAGGAAGTTTCATACTACTACCTCCATTTCAGATTAATTGTAACAATTTGACTTTTGCACTATTTACATGCTTATTTTGATTATATTTTTTTTTTATTAAATACAGTAAAAAATAACAAATGTTGTCATATAAAAGTTCTTGAATTAGTCCATGTATATTTTCATTATATATACTGTTTTACTTCTTATAATACTAGTTGGATGGTCACGTGCTACGCACGCGTCAACCAACTTTCAATTTATATAATACGGAGTATTTTTTTTTTAAACACGCAAACAAAAACTACTTTATTCCATTATTAATGGACTAAATTTGTAATTGTGTGTAAAAAAAAACTAAGAATTTATTCTCTTCACCTTATTTAAATAATATTAAGTAAAAAATAATATATATTCAATGAAATTAATTTTAGTTTAATAAACAAAATTAGTTTAAGGGGAAAAAAAATAATTTAGCTAAGTTAAGTTTAAATCGGCAACTATAAATAACAAATATAATAGAGAATTAGTAAGATTAAGTTTTAATTAGTAAAAATAATTTTAACTCACCAAATATCATTTCATATCAGCAATGATAAAGCTAAGAGAATAGGCCTAAGTAACCATTTTACAAAATCTATTACATCTATTTCTTTTCTATTTTACTTTGTATTGTTTAGTTATGCACATTTGTCAATTTACACGTACATGTGACAATTAATATCTCTACCTATTAAGTACAAAATGAATATTTGATATTCTTAAATAAAACATTATATCCATTGGCATAAATCAAACAAGTTTACGTACTTTTGCATCTCTTTTACTATGATGAGTTATTCTCACTAATATAGCTTTGAAACCTCACAAAGTAATTGTGTGCATTTCTTCTAACACTTCATTCTCATCCCATTGTTTAGGAAAAAAAGTGTGTGATATCGCTGTAATTTTCATTTATTTATTTTTTTTATCAATTTGTTCATCATGGTAAAAACAAAGTCATACCATTTAGTAAAGCTCGGCACGGGCCGAGATGGCCTGCGGGCGGCCCAACACGGCACGAACTTCGACGTGACACGACACGACCCGACAGCTGGCCCGGCCTTGCACGGTGGTCGCTGGGCGTGACGTGGGCCGTGCCACGAACAGAAGTTGGTTTTTTCGGCACGGCCCGGCACGAGCCCGCCTCTTGGCTCGCCAGGCACGGCCCGCGTGCCGCCCGTTTATACCCGTTGCTCAACGGTATTGTCAATGGAGAACGTTGAGCAACGTTCTTCTTTTCCCCTTCTTTCCAACGGTTACTTTCCCCATTTTTCTATAAATACCTCCATCTTCTTCATTCCAAATCACAAATTCACAATCTCTTCTCTTAATCTCTTATATTCTCTATTAATTCTCTTAATCTCTTAAATTCTCTAATTATTATTTCTTAATATAAAAAAAAATTAAAAGTTCGAAATCGTAATTAGTGGAAAGCGTTGAAGCACGGTTGTAAGATCTAAACTAATCTTTAATTTATTATTGTTGTTATTGTTATTGTTATTGTTATAATTATTGTTATTAATTATTATTGTTGTTATTGTTATTGTTATAATTATCGTTATTAATTATTATTATTGTTATTATTATTGCTATAATTGTTGTTAGTAATTATTATTATTGTTAAAATTGTTGCTATTAATTATTATTATTGTTAATTATGGCATCACCAAACACGAACAACCCATCATCCTCTAGGAAAGCCCATGGTAATAGGTCTAGGGAATCACCTAATCCAATTACCCCCCCCCCAATTTCAAGTCCGACCAATGACCCCGGTAACATCCCCCTAGGCTTTGACCAATTTAGGCACGATGGTACTTCCGGTTTTCAACCCTATAACATGAATAATATGCCAGGATTTCCACAAAACCAATTTCCACCACCAAACCAATTTCCACAATTTGGTCAATTCCCACCTACTTTCTTTGACCCGCAAAATTTTTATTCTAGCCAAGGTAGCAAACAAGATACCCATGCCTCCGGTTCTACTACTAACCAAAAAAATCCCCGAATCTACAAACACCCAATTCCCAAACACACAAGAGCAATGGTTAACCGAAAGTGAAATGGTAAATATCAAAAGCTGCAAAAGTGATGTATGGCTTTATTTTGTGCTAAATGTAGCCCAAACAAGAGCAAAATGTAAAACATGTGGTAATGTATACTCGGCAGATTCCAAGGCCGGGACGGGACACTTAAGTAGACACATGAGAAGTTGTGCAAAACCAGCTAGTCATCCAACCCAGCTAAAAATTTCCCAATACCATCCACACGGCTTTACCTACAACTATGAGAGGATAGGGATGAACTAGGGAAAATGATAGTATACGCCGAACAACCTTTTCTTTTCTACGAAAGTGACCCATTTAACACTTACATTAACAAAGCATTACAACCCCAACATAAAAGAATCTCTAGGAAAACC